TAATAAATACTATTTGTCTTGAGAAAACGAACACCAATGTTATAAACGCCACCGGCGTTTCACACCACAATTACTTTTCCTACTACATAAACAGCACAGACTGTGACTCTATAACCAATATAATAAATAACTACCATAATCGACAAATTACCCGAGGGGCGCAGCCCCCAAAAAGATAAAGTTCTAGTTATATATATATATATTTATTTAATACGAAATTCTATTCCCGTTTTTCTCCAAAACGAGCTCACACCTCTTTTTCATTGATGAAATTAAATCTTATCATATTATTAACCTGATACAATTAGTATTAATACACTATACTACAATAATAATATCGTATCCACATTCACTAAGACGATCAGCCAATAAACCTACAAAATCGGTTCTAGAAGCACGGAAAAAGAGAACGGCAATATATCCTTGATCGTTCTAAAATTGTGAATAAATTACGTGAAACAATCGGTGAAATCGATGAATTTTCAGACATCCCGCAAGATAACCCACCCACTAATAATTCGACGGATATTCCGATATTCAACATACTTGAAATTGTGTCGCCTCAACCAGAGAAAGAAACGTCGGAAAATATTGTAGAGTCGGCTAAGATTATTGAAGCTAGCGATAATCGTAGTTCAGATATACTTACGCGAATGGGAGGATGAGGGTACACCACTTTGTAATGACGAAGAATGGGTAAAAAATATAGCGATACTCTGGAAGAATGGATATTTATGGAAAGACGCTACTCATTGGGGAATATTTAGCGCAATATATAGTTAGCATGAAATGACCTGCCTTTGCATCGTCATATTTTTCGATTTTACCATAGATTCCCTTAGTGTTATTTATTCGCCCTGATCAACTATACTTAATCAGGTACTAGTACCAATATTCAACCAAGTTTTATAACAGACAAGTATTAATATTCACGTTTCAACAATAATAATGAGGATTCAGTTTCTTAAAGCACCCGTTGATCATGATGTTTTTATTAAAGGACACGATACAATATATATTAGGAGTAATAATAAGGGTAAGCACATTATAAACTGACAATTCTAAAAATGAAATAATCTCTATTATCTATGTGGCGTTATTCAAATTACATTCTATCAACAATGGTAATCGCAGCAAAAGAAAGAAGTAAGAGGATTAAGGGGGAACAGGGAAAAAAAAAAAGCAAGGAAACGGTTCCAGAATACAAACATTAATTAGTTGATGTTTTTGTTGACTAAAGCTGTGGCACAGGCCACAAGCTTAGGTTTATCATTCTTCTCATCAGCTTCTCTCTGAACCTTAACGACGAAATTATATTGAGAATGCTCGGCTACCTTGTCCGATACTTTAGCAGTTCCTGTAACGTTAAAGCGCTTCGAACTCCGAGAAAGACGAACAGAAGCCCCCTTGTAGGAAGGGGCAATGGGTTTTCCTTCAAGGTCGAGATAACTAAAACTCCATTTATATTGCGCAGATTTATCTGGAACCTTTCCTGAAATGGTAACGGTTTCGTTTTGACCAGGTACAGGCATATCTGCTTGTACGGTAAGTAGTGGAATTGCATCACGACATTCCTTCCAAATAAGACGTTGCCCAAATATTGGACTTTGCATAGCGTTGAGCGTGGAAAGCATAGCCAACAGGATGAGTGCAGCAATAAATTTTCGAACCATTTTCGTCTTTTCTTTTGGTGTGTAGATAGTTAGGTAAAGTTTTATTAGAGTTTTGTTAGGAAGAAAAGTCTTCTTTTTTGTTTTTCAGTGGAATGATTTGAAAATTTCCACATGGTTTGACCGTGTTGTAACATTCTTATCCTGTATATGTGATGACTATAAAAGTCATTTGTGTTTGTGACAATAATGATCGATACGAGAGTCTTGGAATTATTATAAACTTTTAACTTCGACACAAAAAAGGGTTTCTTTATAACTCCTCATTCTTATTGTTCAATTCAATTGAAATTGACGTTACCAAAAAAGAGAGAAAAAGAAACACAAAGGCATAATTTATTTTAGGTTTGGCCAAAGTTGTCCACACTGTTTTACGGCACGAGGACTTCTTTTTCTAAACTAGTCCGTTATGGTCGTTACTATTATGTGGTGCGACATTGTGTGACGAACAGTTAAACTTCTTCCCTTTTTTTTTGCGAACTCAGCTATGTAGGAAATTCTTTCACGAGAAATGTGCGGGTTATTGCTAAATAAAGAACACGATAAATCAAAACAAGCTAAAACTACTAAAGTTTAGAGATAAGTGCTTCATTCACTTTTTCATGGTGCTCCAAAGATATTGAACATACAGTTTGCCATGCGCGTATACTTTTTGTCGTTAACAACTCTTCAATAACGAACCAAATCAAGCGGGGCCGATAATTCGGACCTAAAATGGGATAAACCGTTAATAACTATCGCGAGGAACTTTTATTCACAACGAGGTGCTGATAAACCGTTAATAACGCACTTATGTTTAAACTAATCTTGTTCAAGTCTTAAATACCATGAATCGATTTTCCGTGACATATATGGGCCAATTTTGCATCCTTATCCGATAGAAAAATCGTATTTAGTAACTCAAAGCACATTTCTTCAATCGACATGTTCATTAAAGTTTACACTAACTTGTTTAAAGCATATTTTTTTTCATAATGGTTATAGTTTCGCCACTTTAATACAAGCGTATTTCTTGCATCCAATCGGAGAACCAACGCTAGCATATGCAGTTGCTCAAAATTGCGTCGTCGCACAATAGACTAACGTATTTAGTAACTCAAAGCATATTTTCACCGCACCAATAGTGTATATAGTCCATGCAGGAGGAACCCGTACCCTATATAAGGAAATGATAACACAATTCATTTAAGATAAGAAACGCACATTGTAATTCTAAACAAACTTAATGTTTTCGCACTATTTAACACAATTATTCACTGAATCCATTTGACTCCATTGACCTTCAATCTCATAACGTCTGACATTTTGATCAAAAAGCAGCGATAGAACTGAATTTTTTATGTTCTTGCAATTTGCGTAATATGGTTTAATCGTTTATTTGGGGAAATTGAATAACAATGAATGTGTGTTAGAATAATAAAGCGCTTACAAACAAACATAAGCGTAGCGTACGTAGAAGTACACTAAATTGGGGAAAGGAAACCTGAAATAATGATCGTCAATTAGTAGTCTAACTAGGACTTGGGTATTAATACTTACAGTATATTAACGCAGCAAATATGTATTAATAGATGTGTTATGTAGGATATGGTATGAGTTATTGTGGTAATGTACTAGTATTAACTGTAGAATATCAAGGTCGTAGTTTAGAGTAGAACATTGATAATAATAATAATAATGATGATGATAGTAACGGCCATAAGTTTAGAATACAAAAAAATTTACTGTCGTCATGTTACACGACATGAGAGTATAAACAAAAAAGCGTAAAGGAATATAAGCACATAGTGACAATAAAATTGCCATAATAATTGTACCTCTTAGTTTTATTTATAAAGAATCCTCCTACGCCTTATTAGCAGCAATTACTTTCGAATTAGCGATCGATGAAATTAAGTATTAGAAAAAGAACATTAAATATGCCATAATTGAGAATTACTTTCGCTTTAAACTATAAGTAAAATAGCTTAATAACGACAACGTTACATATAGTGATACGCCAGTAAGTAGTTCATTTATAAAATCGGGGTGCGGATCACATTAAAAATAATCAATAAACAATGATGTGTATTACACAAGTTATAAATACAGATGGCTCATCGATTTAACAGATTGTAAAGACACCAACTACAGTAACGTGCAAAAGTATCCTACCGGTTGTATCATCTAAACGTACATAATAATAACTCCTTAAATTTTCCA